AGGCTGAGGGGCGGTGCTAAGGCGCATTAGTTAGGGACTGAATCCTGGTGTCCAATAATTCTACTACTGAACCATCATTACCCCGTTTTTACTTGTTTTTGGTAAACATTCTTCTAGGTCATACAGCCCTGGTCTGTCGACTCGCTGTACAGAGGTAACTCGTGGTCGTTGTGAAGCTGAACACTGTGACACTGATGTGTCAAATGCGATAATGGTTACCCATGGTGGACAGTGTTTGGTGGAGCTTCCCGATTAAAACAAGCTTGGAAGCAGGAGTGGCATCCACTTCCAAAATGGCTTGCCTCCGGAAACCCTATGAACCTGGAGGAAGTTATACAAATGTTCACATCTTTAGTTAATAGGGTTGCTGAGTTGCCTATGACTCGATGGCACTTAACAACAACAACGTTGTTGTTGTGTACTGTAGACTCAGAACCAAACCATAGCTGACCCTCCTGAGGGTTTTCAGAAGCAGTTAATCGAATGGGAGGAGACTGCTGCAGATCAGCTGGGGGCCTCGAACCGCATGCCTTTGGGATTGCAGTGCAGCTTCTTGCCACTAGGCCACCAGAGCTCCCTTGCTAAAGTATAAGGACCTCAAAAGCAAGACTTTTGGCATGTGATTTACCCCAATCACCTAGAAGAATTCCTGGCTTATAGAGAGTGCTCACTGAGCCCCAGCAGGTGTTGAGAGAGAGACTGAAAATAGCCAGGCTTGTCATGACAGGAGTCCAGAGTGAAGGCTGCACAGTGGAGTAGACTTGGGGGGAGGGATTGCATAACAATAAAAGAGGGTTTTTTTTTCTTTTCAAGGAGAAGAGTGATTTTGGGGGGGAGGGGGTGGGCAGGGAGAAAAGTGCAACAATGAATCACTGGAAATCCTAAGTCTCTGTAAACTTTCATTAAAATTAAGAAAAATTTTTTTAAAAAACCACAACAAAAAGACACACACACACATACAAAATAGCCAAGCATCCTGCATGCCCTGGACTTGGAACGCCCTCCCAGCCAGTGCATGGATCATGTCCCACTTTCCTCCCAAAGCTGTCCCTTAGGACAAGGCGGAGGCAGAGCGCGCGCCCAGTGGGGGTGGCGCCCAGGGGGGGGTGGCGCCCAGGGGGGGTGGCGCCCAGGGGGTGTGGCGCATCCCTGCCCCGCTGCCCCTCCTACCTGGGCCTGCAAGCTTGCCTTCTGGCTTTGCCACTCCTGCGGACACTGCTGCTCCGAGACCTTCTCCTTCCGCACAGAGCCTGGGGGAGTGTGCGTCTCAGCTTCTTCCAGCCGGAGGACTTCAATCCTTTGAAGACAGAGGGGCCAGAGTCACACACAGCATAGCTGCTCCATCTGGTCTCCTTGGCTGTAACTGTTACAGATGCAAATTGCCAGGCCTTTCTTCCATGTGACCACTAGATGAGTTTGAAGAACCAACCATTATGTTTGTAACTGAAGGCAAATCATTGGTATCCTTTAGGGACTCAATGATTTCTAATATATGTATATTTTTAACTGGGTTAGAAAACGGCAAGTTATTCTCTTAAATGGCTGAAATATTACACTCCAACTCACAGTGTATAAATGTTTCCAATTACTACCTCGCTACTAATACTTTATATTGGCAGACAATTTCATTATCCTCAATGTGATGAAAACTAAATGCTATCTTTTAAAATAAGATGCAGAGCTGGGGTTGACCTGACCACCCCAAGGACACATCTACTCCCAATGACACCCCCCTCACCCCCACCTCCACCTAGATGGCCACCCAATTGAGAGCAGAGAGCTTTAACGGCCGTTAATGGGGTGAAAAACACTTTACCTGGTTTTCAAGAAGCAACTTGACATTATAAACCCTAAGAGTTACCACCCTTAGGATATGATAAAGATTAAGCTGGAACCACCAGTATCCATCTTAAACCAAACCAAATTGCCACTGGGTTGATTCTAAGTCATGGGGACTCCACGTGTCAGCGTCTAACTTTCGTCAGGGCTTTCAGAGCTGATTATCGCCCCCCAGACATTGATCACCAGGGCTTTCTTCCAACGTACCTTTGGGTAGATTAAAATCACCAATGTTTTGGTTAGCGGCTAATTTATCCATTTGTACCATCCACACACTCTGTATCTATTTTGTTTGCTTGCTGTTAGGCAATGTCGAGTTGATTCATAGGGACCTTCTAAACAACGGATCTGAACCCTGGAGGGTCCTGTGCCGTCCTCATCGTTTCTGACACACCTGAGCCCATTACTACAGTGCCTCTGTCAGTCCATGTCGCTGAGGGTCTTCCTCTCTTTCTCAGTCCCTTCACCATTTGAAGCACGATGCCCTCTCCAAGGAAAAGACTCTGCACACAATGTACTGGACCATGTGAGATGAAGCTCCCCTATCCAAGCCTCCAAGGACCGCTCGGACTGTACCTTCCCCGAGACGTGTGTCTGTTCTTTTGGCAGTCCACGGGACACCAGTTCTTCTGTCATATTTACTGTCCAACTCTCAGACGCATAGCAAGTGACTGAAAAGACCATGGTCTAAATCACATGCACCTATATTTTTATCTGTCTGTCTGTCTATCTGCCTGCCTGCCTGCCTCCCGGCCAGCCGAGCAACTGATCTATCTATCTATCTATCTATCTATCTATCTATCTATCTATCTATCTATCTATCTATC